AATAATGTCCTCTAAGTTTTTATCATTAATCTGATGGAATTGTGTCATGGTGTTTGAATTGATATTAGGTGGACATAGGGACTACACATTTGCTGTACCTGATGCAGAGGCACTGACTGCTTGTCTAATTTTCTGAATTTTGTCAGTGAAGAAGGAGGCAAAATCATTGCACGCCCTGGTGGATAGAAATTCAGAGGCTACTGACACTGGGGGGTTAGTTAGTCTGTCGACGGTAGCAAACAAGACACGTGCGCTGTTTTTGTTTTTGGTAATGATGTCAGAGAAGAAAGACTGTCGTGCGTTTTTCAATTCCAAATTATAAAGGCCAAGTCTCTCTTTATAGATTTCAAAGTGAACCTGGAGATTTGTTTTTCGCCACCTACGTTCAGCTTTTCGACACTCTCTTTTTTCTGTTCTCACGGTCATGGCCTTTCTCCATGGAGATATTTTCTTGCCAATCACTTCCTTTACCTTAGTTGGAGCAATGGTATCTATAACATTTTTACACACACAAAGAGCCAAGCTTGCTAGCTAGCTCCAGTGCGCTCCAGCAGCACTACACCCCTGAACCCACCCACATGCACTCTTAGGTCTCTTGCTTCCTTCCACCTCACTGCTGCACCCTTCTGCTTAACCACCATGGGATCCAGAGCCTTCAGCCGCTCTGCATCCCGCCTCTGGAACCCCCTTCCACCTGACATCCGTAATATTGACTCACCCCATCTTTCAAAACAGGTCTTAAAACATATCTGTTCTGACTTGCATATCCACCCTGATCACAATTCATCACACATCTTCCGTTTTGATTGATTATATACACTGTATATAATCCTCTGTTTTAATTGATTATATACACTGTATATAATCAATTAAAACAGAGGATGTACGTGAAAGAAAAAAAATAATAGTATAGTAACTATACTATTATTATTTTTTCTTTCACGTACAATACAATGTCATTTTTTTGTTATATTTTGGACACACTTGACTTTGTTTCTTTTTCTGAAACTTTTGAAGTACTATATTATGTCACTTTTATGGATGTATTCAGACCATAGATAGACTGTATATATAAAGGGATTCAGACATATAATATATTAGATTTCAACGTATTATACTATTTTATCTGAGTTGTTCAACAAACTATGCTTCAGAAATGTTCGACACACTACACTATGTCGTTATTTCATATATTTTTAACTTACTATACTATGTTGGTTTTTCAGAATTCAGAAATGTTTGACATAATAAACAAAAATGTTTGGGATTTTTTTGACATACTATTTAAGTGGTTTCATTGATTTTTTTAAACATATTTTACTATGTCAATTGTTCTCATATTTTGAACATATTTTACTTTGTGTGTTTTAATATTTTTTACATACATAGTATACTATGTCTGTCGTTTTTCCCGATATGTAAACTATGCCATACTTGACCTGTTACAACTTATCTGTAAAGATATAAAAGAAAAAATGGAAAGCACAGCTGAGGGGGACAAGGGCCATTTTAACCAGTAAGTACAAAATGATTAAAAAACAAACCATGCTAAATTCCAACAAACATTTATTTGTGAATTCTATGACAAACAGGAGGCAGTTTTAATATCTTGTTTTACAAGCTACATTGATTGGAAAAAACAAAAATCCCCAACCTTTTTAACGTTTTTTATCAACTTCAAAATGCATCTATGTACAGAAGAAATGCTCAAGTGTGGTCTATAAATGGAGAGCTACATACTTCCACAGCGACCTGGTTCAGATCAGCTGTTGACATTCAGCTTTTCTCAAAGAAACAAAAGGATAGAGTACAAAACTGAAAACTCTTTTAACATTTCAATACAAGGGGGGAAATATCCTTACTGTTTACTCGTTTTATTTGTCTTTCATTGCATTCTCTTTTTATTCAAGAAACAAGAGTTATTAAAAAAAAAAGAGCAGGTTATATAATGCAAATATACAGGTCAGTCTCTAGATAATTGTTTAGCTAACATTATGAACAGCTACAAATCTATTTACATATTCCCAAGATGTAATAATCATATGAATGGTATGGACACATGTTAAAAAGGCTGAAAAGGTACATGTTGCTTTTTTTAACAGGCTTACAGGGACAATAATGACATTCATGGTTTGTGCCATGCAACCTGTAAGAACTGATCCATCATTGGCTGGTGATGCTGTGTGAACGGTATAACTGTCTTTCATTGGCTGCAATGTTTTGTACTTATAACCTGAGGGGGAGGAGCAAATGTAACACCTGCCAGGCAGGTGAAAAGGCTGGAGAGGCAGAAACAGAACTGACCAATAGAGTGCCACAGTGACGCGTCCTAAAACCCGGAAGTAAGTTAGCATTTTACCACTTCCGGTTCGAATCATAAATCTATCGATCATAAATCTATCGATTAGATTTATGATTAGAAAATTATAAAAGTAGGGTTGACATGTGGATATTATCCGGGTGAACAAAACGTGATCTGTCTCTTCAATTTGTGTCAACCACAGACCTTATTTCGAGCTATTTTCCAAAATCCTATGGAGAAATTGCATTGGTTTTTGTCGAAGGAACCGGAAGGAGTTTACTTCCGGGTTTTACAGTAGTACGCGTCACTGTGGCACTCTATGACATCAGAGTCAGAGAAAGATTTGAGTCTCATGCGGACTGCGGCACTACATCTTTATAGTAAATGCAGGAAAATTCATCTGTGATAGTAAACACCAGTTGGAGCTCTGAGGTGCATTTCCAGCTATGATATGTCACATCTGATGTTCTATCGGAGGACGTTTAATAACACAGACTAATTATAATCTGTTTTTATAAGTTAAAAAACTATTGTTCCATAGTGTTTTGCGCCTTATATGACATGAACCCAGCATCAAAACAACAGTGGCAGTTTCACCACAACCTGAACATTTGCTGGAACAGTCTAACGTATCATGAGTCAAAAATACAGGGCTTCGCTCCACTCTGCAATAACAGCAAAAGAACAAACAGTGGAGGTTGGCTAAAACATTTGACCAAAGCATAACCTCTGTCCACATTTCAACAATTTGGAGGTCTGGCTACACAAAAATGAGGCAAAACTAATTCTAAAGCATAGCCTTCTGTTCTTCTCAATCTGAGATCCCTTATTGGCTTGCAACACGTATTGTCCGTCAGAATGTATTTAGATGAGCAACCATTGAAGATTAATGTAAACACAGCAGTAATCACCTACTGCAAAACAATAAATAAAGACGATCTTAACTCCAGTTGTAATTAATCATCATCAAGTTTGTACTTAGATGTAGCAAAATATTTGCAGAAAAATAAGATTTTTAATTAACCAAGACATCTTTGTAGAGAAAAGGCACGAAGTGACCTTATCAATAACAGTGAGAATAAATAATAACAGTAATCAGGCCCCAGAACTGGAACCAAATATTTTAAAGATCAATGCACAATATATTAGAAGTTACATTTCTCTATCACTGATTAAATATTTGTACTGAAATTATAAATGATCAATATGTCACAATTGTTTAGGTGAATGCTGACAACATTTCTCTAATAACTTTCATTGGGGTATTTTTTTAAATGGTAATTTGTTCCAGGTTTGTGCTTTTTCTTTGTTGGTATATTTCACATTAAGTCCCATTGATTGTTTTGATCAGCTATTGATCAACGGTTAATTGCTTCCTCCAGATTCATAATTGTATCCAAAAAGAAGGAATGGTGCAAAACCTAATATTAGAGCCATTATTGGACTGCAGGGCCACTCTCTACTGTTGTCAGCTTCACAAGCTTTTTTGGGCTTTCGTTTCTACTGTATTCTGAGATTTTTGGCAAAGATCTGGTAGCCCAGTATTGGGTTGTATCTGATTTCTCTCTTACAATGACACTGAATAACTCCTTCTGAAAGTTATTGATAACATGGTGGTTAGCTTGACAGCTAAATGCTGTCTTGACATGCAGTTTGTCCTGTCATTTGTGGAAATAGCTTTAGCATTAGTGTCTAATTTTTGTCAAACATTTGAAATGTATCATTGCCAAAACTGATGTAAATTGTTTGTTTTGTACAGGTTTTTTTTTACAAATTTTGACGTGTTCTTATGCTTATATTTTGTTATGTTTTGAAAGTTCTGCTTGTACTGTACACTACATATGGATCAGCTTTGTTGGTCATCTGGATTTTGGTATGATACAATGTGCCAGACCTCGTCGACTGTGTTAGCATACATAGCTGTTTGCAGCAAATGCAAACAGCTAACTATGTTAGCGCCAAACACAAGCAGAAAATCTAGCCAACTAGTTAAATATATCATTGTTGAAAACATAGCTAACATATTGAGGGGCAGCAAGGTGGATTAGGCTTTAAGATCGGTATAGTGAGCAGGAAAAATAGTTGGCAAGTCACTGTAGCTGATTTGCAAAGTTAACCTGTTAGCTTGTTAGCGAGCTAAGTTTTAGCTTATCAATTATTTTCTCTTCCGTGATTACACCAGATGTGGTTATTCATTTGAAAAATATCATTGTGGTATGAAGAAAGGAATTAATGTGTACTAAACCTTATAAACTGTGTTATTTTGGGTCACATGGAAGTCTTTAAATTAGGTTATATGATTTCATGAGATTGCTTGGCTAAAACAACCTGTATAATTTGGGTAAAAAATCAGACAGTCTATTCCTGTGGCATGAAGCTTTTGAAGAAGTGAATGGTTTCAGTCGGTTGTTTTTCTAGCATTAGTGAGGGCCACAGTGGAGACAGACAGCAGTATTTAGGCTGTGGGTTTTCCTCACTGTGTTATTTGCACTGTTACTGTAATGCCCCATTTTAAACTGCTGAATCATTGAATGGTGTTCAGAAAAGGAGAAATGCTGGACTTTAGCTCATACACAGACAGTGGAAGAGACATATTCAAATAGATCACAGCAGACTTTACAAAAAGTAGCACCATGATAACTAAATAGAAAGAATAGAAACATTAGTGTAATAAATCAGCAAAAGTATCCATATAAAATGAACAAAAAAATTATAATTTAATTTCCAGAAGTACAATAACCCTTGGTATAAAAAGGACCATACATGTATACTTTATCCTCATTACCTGTAAACCATTATGTCATCGCACCGTGGTACAGTACTTCATAGCTTTAATAAAGCATGATCGCAATTATGTGCAGAAAAACAATTTTACCCATTGAAAAAAAACAACATGCTGGGTTTGTTTGTATGTCTTTACATGGAGTCCAGTTTGAATGTGGTAGGTAATCTGACAGGCACTTTGAATTTCTGTTGATTGATTAGAAATATAACTACATGGATAACAAAGAGATAAGAGAATAAAATATGATTGTTTTCAGTTAACTGTATTTTTTAGGGTTTTAATTCACCAATACCTTTTGTGTCTGTTCCCATGTTATATATTTTTCAGCCTTTTATTTCTTTCCCATATTTTCTTTTAAGAGTGCAGACAGCCTACTAAAGACATATTGGATTCGACTGCCATGTAGGTAAAGAAGGACATACATTAACAATTTGAAAATACCAAATTAAATAAATCAAGTAAAGTAAAAACGTTCAGTGACTACTACTGTGGCTGCAGATGGACAGTCATAGCTCTTAGCTTTTTAACCAAGAATACATTATGATGCTACATTTTCAAACTGTGAATAGATTTCATACAGTAGGGGCACCGTCTGTCTAGTACTAACACAAGGACAGTTGTGGGTGAGAGAAGATTGAAGAGGAATCTCCTTACTAGACCTAGAAATGATGCACTGGTTCACCAGATTGCTGGAAATGTAATCATTAAATGCACATAAAGTAACACACACATCTGATAAAGACGTTATAAAAGGAATGCATTGACTGAATTCTACTTGGACACTGTTTAGAGTTAACTTACGTTTCAAAACTATGGTATATTAGAATTTTGAATTTGGACACGCTTCATATCTGATCCCTGGTAGCACAGATTGTAAGAATGCACACATAAAGTTGATGGATATCAAGTCGATATTATTATTGTTATTAAATAAATTCCCAATGATGTTAATATGGTTCTAAAAGTCACATGTGACATGAATATGTAGTGTTCTTTTTCTGTACTTTTTCTACAGAAATGGAATACATTTAATTTTTTGGTTTGGACTTGTGTAGCATAACCCAAAGAAATGTTTGAGGCAAAACTGGTACTATATGTTAAAACAAAGTGATATTAGTGCATCTCTTTCCAATGCCAAGCGAAATCTTGATTTACTAAATCACAGATTGGGTTTGTGGTTACACAGAAAGTGTAACCAACTGTAATGTGCTGTAGGACTGTATTTGTCAGATTATCAATGGTTACAAGAGGAATCTCAATATCTCAAAACATATAAAACCATCATTTTCCCAATCAACATCTGGAGTGTAACACGTTTGAAGAAATTATTCTTACATCTAAAAGATTGAAGCCATGGCTACAGTGCCACAAAACATCCCCGTATTTCTGGCCAAAGCTATTCTGGGAACACGTGGGAAAGTTAAAACTAAACCCGCCTGAGGAGCTTTGCTTTTTGTTAAGGTCTGTTACCAAACAACAATGTTAGGAAGTCCACTCAAATCAGCCTTTATAGAGCTTACAAGTCCAAAAATCCATCAACGATGTCCCAGTCTTATCATGCTGGGATTTGCAGTCAAATAGAAGTGGAGTTTGTCCTTTTATCAACTGTAATAGGAGAACATTTGAATACTAGTCTGCAACTGGATCAGATGTCTTCAAGAGGTGGCGTTTTTTCAGATACATTGGAGTCTCTTGCTGGAATGTTATTGTGCTAATCAATCAAAAAGGCTTAATTGATTCTCCCGGCCAAGCATGCGTGTTAATGCCAAGGGTCAGAGAGAAATCATTGGAGATATCCAGCACTTTTTCATTGCTTATCTATAACTCCGACATGGCTACTTTCCATGTTTTTTCCATTTAAAAACTGACCATTTTTATTTCCTGTCATTCTGTTAATTAGGGTTGGGGAGGTTAGTACATCCAGTCTTGACATCAGAATTTTACTTGAAAGACACTCATTTCATTTCGTTGAGTTCTTGTTGAGTTAAATGTGTCAGATTATAAATGTGTGTGTTTATGTTTTATGCCCTGCTGGTAGTTTTGCGATGGTTGGACCTGTTGCTGGGTTGGAGTTTCGGTCCTCCCTGTCCTTGGCATCAGAAAATGTACAGTCCAAGACAAGTGAAATAATTGCCTGGGTTATGTGTTAGTTAGTGGATGTTGTGTGGATGTGGCAGTGGCTTTGTGGGGCAGTCTGTGCTAGAGGTGTGTGTAATGTTTGGCAGTGCACCTGTGTGGCAGGTGGTTGGAGGTGTGTATGTACATGCTGTTGTGAGAAAAAGTGGGATTTTATGGCAGTGGTGTACAGTGAAGAATCAGGATGATTGTGCGTGTGTGTGGTCTTTAGATGTGGCAGTAGGAGTGACATCACTCGTTGCAGGTGTCACTCTTCTCTTCTGGTGCTGCAGGAGACTCTTGTGGGCGGTGCTTGCACTGGCCGAGCGAATGGCGGGTTGTTGCTCTCGATGGTCGAGCTGGGCAGGAAGATTGGGCAGCACAGTCACAAGGTGCATCCTGGGAAATGGAAAGGTTTGACTGAGCTTTAAAAAAGGAAGAATCAAATACCACACCGCTGGGATTGATGACAATATTATATATAATTGTTGGGCGCAATGATGATGTTGACAGTAGGCTTACAAATTACACTGCTATTTCTCCTATACAGTCAAATTATTGCAAGTAGTATTTTTAATATGTTTGATATTTAAGACTCAAATTGGGGATAATCATGTAACATCAAGATAAATAATAAATACAAAACTAGCTGTGGAAGAGTCAAATTAAATATCATAGTGTACAAAAGTGAATGGAACCTATTGGCATTTTAATGGAAATCAGAACAAATTTGAGAACTTTAAAGTGGACCTATCATGCTATTTGTAGGCAATAGCATAGGTGTCAGATATATAAAAAACATGTCTATGAAGTGTTTTGCTCAAAATACCAAAAAGATCACCCTTTTTAGCCATGCCTCATATCCCTCTATTTCACTTCCTGTTTCAAAAGTGCTGATTTTGGGTATAAAGCTTTTAAAAAAAAGAAAATTGATAAAAAATAAGAAAGGAGGGGGCTGAGCTCATGCGGGACCCGGCAGCTACCGTCTAAACTAAATACTGCCGTGATGAAACGCCATATCATGGATTATCAAGGATTATTTCTGAAACAGTATGGAGCTCAAAGGCTTTCTCTCTTGCCGGTTATACCACAAGGTGAGTTCCTTTTTATTTCCTGCTTCTTCACACACATGCTCTATCCAGTACAGGTTAGCTCTGAGTGTTAGCGATGCTAATGTAAACACCGACCATATTACGTCCAAAACAGTCGGGCATTGTTTCTGATAGCAAGGTTTCTGATAGTGCCGTGGGTCCACATTTCCGATATTACGTCATATCGGACGCACATCTGGATCAGCTCCGTTGTACCCCCGTTTTTAGAGATTTTGGAACGGAGGAAAAGAGAGAGGGTTTTATTTTATGACGCTGCGTGAGTTCCCTGACACACCGGGGACACATATTTATGTATAAAAGACATAAAAAAGTGCATTTTGCATGATAGGTCCCCTTTAAAGCATGGTTTTCAAAAAAACGTTTTTTGTTTACTGGAACAGTAGGAAGAATACACACAAATGATTAAAACCTAGATCAGTCCTTTGCAAATAAAGAGCTGTAATGTTAAGTAAATGGTATTCAATGTAAAGGGGCTGAAAGAAGCAAAACCAATGTTATGGTCAGTTTAAATCATAAGCGCATTTCAAATGGCCTCACCTCCGTCACAGTTCCTGCAGCCCCCGTGTTGCTCATCAGTTCCTTTCCTCCTCCCATGATATTGATCATCTCCTCCCCGGTTGACTGTCTCATAAACCTCTTATTGACGATCCGGGTCACATTGTCGTTGCTTCCGTTCAGCGCAGCGATTCCTCCAACCCCGGCCGACACGCACTCTGGTTTAGGTTCATCAATGCCGCCAAAACTACCCAAGACACTCAGACCTCCGAGACTGCCATTGGAGTCTCTCAGTGGTCTCTCCCCAGGCAGGGTGACTGCTCCCTGGCCACGGCTGCTGCAGACGTTCCTGAAGAACTCCTGGACCAGGCCTCCGTACCGCTGAGGGCCGGGGTCACATGTAGAGAGTGGCACAGCAGTGGGTTTCCCCGCTGCAGCAGGCTGCCGTGCTGGACTGGCTCCCTGGCTGGCTCCTAAATGAAAACACGGATCCAAGGCAGGTATTATAATTATTTTGATAAATGATGATTAACAAGACACATTTAATTCTGGAGGCATGCTTGTGCTGTCAACAGCATTACATAGAGAATAGAGACTTTAGATGTCAAAGCAAGGTTGGGAATGTTGTACTCATCAGTGCTTCGCATTAGATAGTTCACTTTAATCTTACCTCCATCCCCCCTCCAGAGCGACTCTGTGCTTCCAGTGTGCTCCACCAAGCTGAAGAGGCTAGAGAGGCCGTCATTCAGGCCGTTCAGCACGGGGCTGTCCCGGGTGGTGGTGGAGCGAGCCCAGGCAGAGCCTCCGCCTCCACTCAGGGATCTCTGCTGGAGGCTCCACAGGCTGCGGTCCCTGGAGGAGGTACTCCCATCCAGTCTGGAAGTGGAGCCTAAAAACACAACAGATGGATGTCTCTTTCTCTCAAACAAAAGTATTAACATGGAAGATCTATGAAGCATATCAATGGTGATTCAATAATTGTGATTAAAGGCTCTCTGACTCTAAAACCAAAGCTTAGAGGACAAAGTGTAATTACCAGAAGACACTCTGCGTTGTAGTTTCGGGGATCCATACTTTGGTGAACAGCATGGTCTATCGATGCGGCTGTGAACTTTATCCAGGGAGGTGGATATCTGCCGGGTTCTGGCGGATGCTAGCGAGTTGGTTGTCGGCAAGGGGCGAGGAGACCAGGATTTGGAGTGTAAACCCGCCACCCTGCTGCCTGGAAGGATGTCGGTTTGAAGCCCGATGCTTACGTACTGTGTGGCAGTCTGCGTGGACCGGGTGGACATGCCCATCGCCTGGAGGGAGAATGTTAGGCGTTGAGACAGTGAAAAAAACAACAAAGAACCGCTATTGAAGAGAAATGATTCAGAATATGATGATTTCTCCTTAAACGTACACTAGATAATTTCATGTGTTAGTATACTGCAAAATCTTCTAATTACTTAGTGACATCTGACAGCGTTGTTGCATATTTTAAAGACGTTTCCAGTATTCTTTTTACAAACTAATGTAACCAGGTTCTAAATAACATATTGCCCTAAAAAAATTGCAATAAAATAAAATACAAATAAACTTTAGGGTAAAATAAACGATTGAGATGTATGAAAATGTGATTATTAGAAATCTTACTTTAGTCATTGTTTACACATCACATCATTCCACTACTTTACAGTCCAAATAAGTACTTATTATATAAATATATCCTAATAGACGGAATAACTCCATAAACTTTAATATACCTTTATAAATGTTTAGAAAAAGCTATGCTTCAACAGATTTTTGTTGGATTAAAAAAACTGAGTTTCTACTAAAAAGAGGAAACTACCTGGCTTCCGGGTTCCTTGGTGGATTTCCTCTCCAGAGAGGACGAGCGAATGGCCTGGCGGACACAGTTGGTCATCTCCTTCATGTCATCACTCAAGTTGGCTGAAATTTCCCCGATCTCCAGACCATGGAAAGCTGACGAGGGTGTCATTCCATCAACTGAGCTACTGTTGCTGGGGATCGAACCGGCGATAGAGCCACTTCTGCTCTCCAGCAGCTCCCTGTGCTGCTTGGACAGCGAGCTCAGCCACTGCTCGTAGGAGGATGAGAAGGAGGGTGAAGGTTGTTGCTGCTGAATCTCAACGGTTTCCTCCGGAGCCATGCCTACATCCGGGCCCGCCAGTCCCAGGTCAGAGCTCCCGTTCTGGGCCTGCTGAGGCTCTGTGGCCTCCTGGCTCCTCCGGTGGTGCTCCATGCGTCGTACAGCAGGGGGGCTGTAGTAGATCCGGATGCCGGTGCGGTCCGGGGCCGTGTGGCTCCTCTGGACCGACTCCAGATCCAGCTCTGATCCCACCAAGCTGCTGCAGGAGCCGCTGGGGCCGTCCCAGGTCTTACAGGTGTCCCCAACCTCCGGGGTCTGGAGCAGGGACAAAAGGGAAACGGGATACAATCATTATAATTTGTAATATGCAGTCTTTATAAGGGATGGGGACGATATTGCAACTATCTTAGCTAAGTTAATTAGCTTTAATAATTAATGTCTCAATGTTATATATGAGTATATGGTTTAAAAATGAATATTTTTTTATATGATATCAAATGTAATCAATCTTTGTTTTACTTGTGTTGTTTAATATATAGAAGTAAAGAAATACAAACAAAAACTCAACATTTTAAATGAAATCATTCACCTCATTGGTCAGGTAGGTCCAATTCTTCCTGGTGAGGTCACCAAGCGAAGGGACTACAAACTGGATCCTCTGCTCCTGATTGGCTGATCCGTCGACTTCTGCACCGGAAAGCTCTGATGTGGATTTGGCTCTTTTGATTGTAAAGTGTAAGAAGGAATTTATGAGAAAAGAGAAGCAATGTCACATACAACACAATAATTATAACACTATTTTAGAAATGTTCTGATTTCTTCCACATGTTAGGGGTTCATTTTAACCTAAGTAATGTAAGGTCTTGTTGGTAATTGTTACCTTGGCGATCCTGTTCCATTAGTGACTCCTGTGTCCGCAGAGGACTCGCCGCCTAATGACTTTGACTGAGAAGACAAAAGAAAAAACACCCTGGTTCTCAGTAAAAAGGAAACCACAGAAATACTTAAGTAGCTTATTAGCAAAGTAAAAGCCCTGCATCATTTGTACAAATTGTTCTTGTAGCATTTTGCCTTCCTACACACACGCTGGAAGACATCCACTGTGGACACATTCCTTACGTTGCCCTCCACTTCCTCTGAAGCTGTGTTGGCAGGAGGAAGTGGAGACTGTCTAGTATAATCTGTGGTAGTCAGATAGCATGCAAACACACACACACACACACACACACACACACACACACACACACACACACACACACACACACACACACACACACACACACACACACACACACACACACACACACACACACACACACACACACACACACACACACACACACACACACACACACACAGACACACACACATACACAGAGATACTGTAGTGCCTTCTCAGAGATGTTTTTGATTCAGTTGGAGCAAGTATTTTATTACTTTTAAATACCTCTCTTGGCTCAGGATGTGTCCCAGCTGCCTTCAAACATGCCGTGGTCCAGCCACTACTTAAAAAGAAAAATCTCGACCCCTCCATTCTCGCAAATTTTAGGCCCATCTCCCAGCTACCTTTTTTATCTAAAGTCCTGGAGCGAGTAGTCTATGCCCAGCTGCAGTCTTTTTTAACCATGCATGGCATCCATGAAAAGTTTCAGTCTGGCTTCAAACCCATGCACAGCACTGAAACAGCCCTTTTAAGAGTTTTTAATGATCTGCTCCTAGCCGCCGACTCAGGTAGCCCAGCTGTCTTGGTGCGGTTAGACCTGACAGCTGCCTTCGACACTGTGGACCATAGCATCCTGTTGTCACGGCTTGAACAGTCCGCTGGCATCACAGGCTCTGCCCTTGCGTGGTTTAGGTCCTACCTGACAGACCGTAGCTTCTCAGTGCAGCTAGGTGCCTTCTCCTCTGCCAAAGCCCCTCTTACCTGTGGGGTTCCCCAAGGCTGGATTCTGGGCCCCATCCTTTTTCTACTGTACATACTGCCCCTAGGTTCAATTCTTACAAAACACAATATCCCCTTCCATTGTTATGCCGATCAGAGGTGGGGACTCAAGTCACATGACTTGACTCGAGTCAGACTCGAGTCGCATATTTTTTGACTTGAGACTTGCTTGACTAACATTGATAAAAGACTTGACTTGACTTTGACTTGGTATTCATGACTTGAGACTTGACTTAAGCTTGAGACAGATGACTTGAAAGGACTTGACTTTTTAAAATTAAATATTTGCGTTTGTTTTTGTAGTGAGATATTACGTTTAGTTTTTTCGAAAAAACGTGATTGGGTGATTATAGCGCCGTGCGCGCAAACCTGGCAACCCACTAGACGGCAGGAGTGTCAGTTAACATGGCAGCGGCTAGCGTTACTCCACAAATAGTCAAGTTTGGATTCAAGGATTATGTTGTCGATAATAAGAAGAGAACAGCGGTATGCAGGGTCTGCAGCATAAAGATCAGTGACACGACCACCAAAACATTCAACTTCATTCGTCACTACAAAAAAATCACAGAGAAAGGTGCGTGGATGTGTTGTGTTAGCTAGAAAGCTAACGTTAAGTTTAAGCTACGTTAGACTTGGTTTCAAATCGATTAAGCATTACAAAGAGAAGACAAAACTGTAAATGAACACTAGAACCGCCAAGGGATTCATTTTGACTAACCCTGATACTGACGGGCTGTCAGGAGAGGGAGAGAGAGAGAGGAAAAGAGATGCCTCGTTTATTTCCCCTGTGTTATCAGAAGTTACTGTAAACTTTTGAATAATGTAGTTCATCTACTTTTAGTAGTTTGTTTAAATGTTTTAATTATGTTTTTTTTTGTTGTAGAAGTGCATCATTCCTTGATTTATTGTAAAATGAATCTGAACTTTTTGATCTGTTATGATGATAAACTGAAGCCATTTCTAAATTAACCCAATTAAGTGAGTTTTAAATCGTCCTACTTAGTTTATAAGGAAATGATGAAGAGGAACAAATTAAATGATTTGAAAATGATATCTATGTAGGTGCTGACGCTGTTGGCGGTTCTAGTGTTAACAGACATTTAAATTAAATATGTGTAATGGCAAATGCCATATATGATTTTCTTACCTGGAATTCTGCCTTTTTGAACAGACTTTTTGACTGAGTCCTAGCTATATTGTCTGCAGTTCTAGGGTTAATATGAATCTAATATGATTGTCATCGGTCTAAATTAGATTTCAAATGATTAACTGTGTATGTAATGAAGATCATAGTGTGGGTTGAATCCATTTTCATAACCACTGTTTGATTTAAATGCGGAAACTGGGCTTATTCCTCAGAATTTCGTATGACTTGACTTGACTTGCTTGACCTGAGCAATGACTTGACTTGACTTGCTTGACTCTCACCACAGTGACTTGGGACTTGCTTGATACATGTAGGTCAAGACTTGAGACTTGCTCATGACTTGCACATGTAGGACTTACTCCCACCTCTGATGCCGATGATGTACAAATCTATCTGCCTCTCAATTCCAATGTCAACTCATTACAGCTATTGATGGACTGCTTGACAGAGATCAAATCCTGGCTGAGCCAACATTTCCTCAACCTAAACAAGAGTAAGACTGAGGTCATCTTTTTTGGACCCCAACCTCCAGCCTCTCCGGTTGATACTCTGGGCTCCCTCAAAAAAAACATCCTCCCCTCTGTCATGAACCTTGGAGTGACCTTCAATAGCGCTTTTAAATTTGATAAGCAGGTCAGCACCGTAGTCAAAACCTGCTTTTTTTAAATACGACTATTGGCCAAGACCAAGTCGTTTTTATATTTTAAAGACCTAGAAAGGGTTATTAACGCCTTTGTTACCTCGAGGCTGGATTACTGCAACGCTCTGTATGTGAGTATGGACCAGGCGTCAATTAGACACCTGCAGCTAGTGCAGAACGCTGCTGCACGTCTTCTTACTGGCCACAAAAAGCGTGACCACATCACCCCCATTCTGGCCTCACTACACTGGCTTCCAATTCGGCTCAGAATTGATTTTAAAATCATTTTATTTGTTTTTAAAGCCCTAAATGGGCTGGCTCCTGCCTATATAGCAGAACTCCTCCATTGCTACACCCCAGCCAGAGCTTTACGGTCTGCTGACCAGCTGCTGCTGGTAGTGCCCAAGACCAGGCTCAAAACCCGAGGGCACCGAGCCTTCGCAGCAGCTGGCCCTAGGCTCTGGAACACTCTGCCCCTCCATGTGAGGTCGGCCCAGACCCTAGGGGTTTTTAAATCTACTCTTAAAACACACTTCTTCTCCCTGGCCTTCTAGTCAGAGCGGAGCACGACTCCTGACTTTTCCCTGTGTTTGATTTTTATATTTGCTGTTGTAATTTATTGTCTTCTGTTTTTGCGATTGTAGTAATGTGTTATTTATTATTTGTATGTACAGCACTTTGGCTCGACCAAAAATCGTTTTAAAATGTGCTTTATAAATAAAACCTGATTTGATTTGATTTGATTAGTGATGCTGAGTCAGTGCCTTTCACACTTGAGGTGATCTCTTTTGGCGCATTTCCACTACACGGTCGGCCTCGGCCACACTCGGTACGGCTCGGTACGGCTTGGCCGCGTTGGGCCTTAACAGGGCCGACTCACTTCATGCTGCGCTTCCATTACAGTTTAGGAACTGGGGTAGTTACTATAGTAACGCAGTGTAGGCGGAGCCGTGACGTCATCTTCAATGAGAACTCCAGAAACACAACACAGCCGTTAGCTGTTAGCACTCAGAGCTCACAGCTCCTTATATATGTTCAGAAACTCGACAAAAGTTAAACAAGTACACACCACAGACTGCCTGTGTCATGGTGAATACAGTCGCTGCTTTATTTATGTCTGTATAGGCCGTTTTGTCGGGCCAGAAAAGAGGTGAAAAAGTGGCCCAGGGCCGGGCCGGGCCGTAACTAGGCCTAGTGGAAGCGCAACCAAAAACGGGTACGGCACGACACGGCACGCTTAAAGCGAGCTCCGCGCTGTAGTGGAGCCCTCACTACAGCTTTCCCCTCAGAGGAAAGAGACAATGTGAGAGTGGAGAGGGGGAAAGGACATCTGCAGATAATGTGCTTAGTTGTACACATAAACTTTCACCTGCAATCCTCCTCCAAAGCTAACTTTACTGTAGTTCAGTGATTCTCAAACAGAGGTGCTCTTACCCAAGGGGGCACTTCTGCATTTGCAAGGGGGCACATGGGAAGAATATGGAATAGCTCAACTCATTTTGAACAAATATATGCACATATTAAGTCAGTTGCAACACCTGAAGACAATAATGTAGTCAACAAGCAGAGAAGGCTAAGCAGTTGGTTAATAGAGGTTGTTTACAATAGGGAGCTAAGAGCAATGGATACATGTTGACACTGATTTTGAGTCATGGATAAACAATTGAAATCTAAAACAGTTAAAGAAATGGACACGTGGTGGAATCAATTAGCTAAAAGTAATGAATAAATGGTTCAAATGTTTGCTTGAAAGTGTTATTTAAATAGTGCAAATGGTTATTTAAAAATCATGGATAGATTGTTGAATTTATTTTTACAAAAATGAAAAATAATTGATGGAAATGGTTCAGATACAAATGCAAACTTAACCATTCCGATCTAAAAACGGACAGTTTAATTGCATACAATATTTGAATAATATATTCTCATAAATAATAAAGGGTGTTAAATAATATTCATTTGAACACAGTTAGTTGGTTAAGCTTTATGTGCTCGACGTAGAAGTAGAAAACGTATACCAATCTACACTAACATCCCATTTCATCAAAAATAAAACATTAAATTAAAAATAAAATTAACTAAATGGATTTATAAGTAAACATCTGATAAGTCAATATCAATAGCAATGACTAATGTCTAACTAACTTTAAAAACAAATTCAGCTACTTTTACACTAATAGCCCTGATGAGGGCACTATAACAACATGTCAGATGTATTTGCTTGGCTTCAGTATAACATACAAGAAGCGTAGATAGTATATCAGATTTGCGGGTGACGGAGCGTGACCCAGACACACTCAGAGAGACTGAGACAGAGTGAATTAAACCATGACGAGCTTCATCCTCATAGCAGTTTCCAGTGCAGGACAAAAAATGGAAGGAGTGATACGGGATTCAGTCAACACACAGGAGGAAGGAAAAGGAGGGTAAAAAAGGCAGGACAAAGACGGCCACAGACCGAAAACCTCAAATGCAGCAGACAGGGGAGAAATGATGGAGGAGCTCTGACCTACTAACTGTGTATCTGAATTTCTGTGTGTATTTATGGACGAACCCACTGACTAACGACCACTTTAAACACTGATGTAACCCTCTTCCTCCCTACCAGACATGCAGCAGCTTGGCAGTGACTGCGCTGTGCGTGTATAATCAGCAGATCAGACTGACCATGTTTTCCTGTTGACCTCAACTTAATAATAAACATGCTCACATTATGGCATTAACAGCTGTGGTTACTGTCGACGTCAGCAAAGTATCCTGAGAGGAAAACACCACCCTAACACAGCAGTTACATGCATTTTTTGTCTTTTTCTTACGTTATTATAACCATAGTGGTGATACAGCCACAAATACATGTACAAAGAAGTTTCCAGCAAAGAATCTGCATTAAATGTCAGGTTTTGTGTTTTATTTTTTTTATTCAACTGCTGTTGTTATTTGCAAAACTATGTCCAGCGTTCTTCTAGCATATTAAAATAGTTTTGAAAGCTTTTTCGCAACAGCAAAAAGTGACTGCCTTGCTCTAAGGTGTAACTAGTGTATTTGAATGCTCTTATATTAAAATAAACTAGCAGCTGTGCTTCTACACAAACTGGTGAGAGGATGAAATGTCCAGTTTGAGAAATAGATCAATGGGTTTGAAGTTTTGAAAAAACTAGGAAACCTTTTTTTTATCTTGAGACTTCTCTTCATCATTTTATCTTGATGTTTTATTGTTTAAAAGAAAGTCTTATTTTCTAGAAATTAAGTAGCTCACAAATACAATGTATCTAAATACAGAAAATAAAAAGTATTGCATATTGCGTACAATTTCTTTCGAAACCAGAGGGTGTGTATACAGGGTCCAGATTATGTTGATTTGAAATGACGAAAAAATTAGACAGAAAACAGGCGTAAGAGTTTATTGGCCATATTGCGTAAATGTTACTAAAATAGAGGTCATGCATCTAATGGGAGCATACCCAAATTCCATTAAAAATTGCGTTATGATTTGACTGAGTTCTGGTGGTGTAAGATTTGTGGCAATGTAACTGGGGGGAAGGCAAATATTACACCTGCTGTTTTTCTTGTATATATTTGAATGTGCTTAGCTGGCCAATACTTCATTTCCCATGTGTGTATAGCCTTCTTGCAATAGCTATGGCTTTCCGACCATTTTTGGTTTTGTGTAATATTAATATAATTCCAGAGAAATCTGTGAAACCTTTAGATGACTTTAGATGTAGAAAGAAACTCAACTAATTCAACAACTCATGTCTGTCTTATCTCAGACACACACCCCATCCTTTCAGATTGCATCATCAAAAAATGCTGCTTATCTCTTCTTCATCTTTGACATTTCTCTCTCTCACACTCACACAAACAAACGCAGCCTGTCGTACCTTCCCCTGCTGTGCCGTGGCCTCTAGCAGCCTCTGCTCCCACTGAGCTCTCTCCTGGCTCAGCCTCTCCAGCAGCTCCAGCTTCTCTCTGCCCCAGTTCCTCTCCCCGAGCTGAAGCTGTAGGTCCGCAGGTGGGTCACAGCAGAGAGACAAGCATTAGAGGAGACAATAACATGGATGTGGAGCGCAAACCACCAGAATATGCATTTAAACAGTACAATGATGTCAAGTAAATCATTAAACAAGGGTCTTTCAAGTTTGTTAAGCTTGAAGTTTAACAGAGGTAGATTAACAATTAGTGTGAAATTCTTCATCTACCTATTTATACCACTTATGCCCTTATGTTTGTTTAGTTTGAGAAAAAAGGCCTGTTGCCTTCCAACCCCACACACACTAACCTGCTTGGTTAGGTCCATCACAGCTGCGTAGGAGTCGGCCAGGAGGTGCTGGTGCTCTTCACACTCCCTCTTCAGCGCCACCTTCAGGTCTGGAGGATCTGGAGCATCTGTGGCGGACAGAGCCTTGCCTGCTTTGGTCTCAAGCTGAAGAGGAAAGATTTACATGGTAAATATAAAAATCCCATCCATTTTCAGTTCCATTTTTAGTATGTGGAGTCTGTAAGTTGATATATTTTTTTCTTTCAGCAAAATTAAAACTATTTTTAACTAGATAATAATAATACGTTTATTTATTATAGCACCTTTCACAGAAATAGATTTCAGAAAGTGCTTCACAAGTACAAAGTTAAAATGAAGACCACAGAAACATGAATACAATAACCACATGAGGCATACATTTAAGGTCAACATAAAAACAAAACACAGACCACGTGATGTCCTGAAATGAACAAACATAATAACATCACACACATTTCAAATAGAAATAAAAGCCAATGTAAAAAGATACATGAGATATTTTATAAATCTGAATTGAAGTTCAGAGGGGCGTGGCCAGCAGCAGGGCATTAGCATTTAAAGCTACAGGCACAGAATCAGCACTTTTGAAACAGAGGGGTATACGGCATGCTACAGTGCATGATATGTTTGGTATTTTGAGCAAAAAACTTCAGACACATATCTCATATCTGAGACCTATAATATATTGTTGAAAAAGAGTATGATAGGGGACCTTTAAATCTAATAATGTGGTATTAAAAAAACTTTAATAATATATGAGTTATCTTAATGCATTAACAAATACAGTAATACAACTATACAGTCAAAAGTAATGCAATACAATAAATAATGCATTGTCAGTTACAAGTTAAATAAAATGAACAAAAAAAGTCCTGCCTTGAATAAAATACTTCTATAGCACAACATAAAAACATTTAATGAAGTAAAGTTCCTCAAAATGTTGATAAAGCGATGCCCTTATTTTTCTCATCAAACAGCTTTTAGTTAAAATAATTTAGCACAGACACAGAAACACACACTCACAGAAATAATTGCTATTTGTCATGAATACAACTCTCCCCTCCTCTCCATAAATCTGGCCCTGCTGTCACAGACTCTGTAGGTGGGACCGCTTAACATTTTTATGAGCAGCTCTTTTTTTGCCTTATTCCTCCGTCTGATCTTGATAGTTCACACAGCCCACACAACCAGGCCCATCCATTTTACTAACAGACACACTCACACACACACAAACATACCCGACCCATCAATCCTCCCTCTCAGTCTGGCTCTGTGGCGGTGGCGTCCGTATGTAGTGATGGAACGCTAGGATATGCTAATGAGCCTGTCTGGCAGCCAATCACAGCGTAACAGACGCACACACTCCAAACCCCCGTTTCCTATGGCAACAGAGCGTTGTTCGTTAGTGATGAACGTGACCTAACGAGCCCAATGTCTTAACGAGGTTCACTGCTGAGGCGGTAAGAGGGAGGCTTTTATTGGTGGATGAGACGTCTGGTTCATGACTCGCAACTCAGTTATTAAGTTCAATCACTTCTATTTAAACGAGTAAAGCCATGAATATAAAAGCATGGATTTATGAATTATGTTTTACTAGAATAATCACAAAAGGGACTTCTGGGCATGGTTAGTAAGTATAAAAAAAGACAAAGAGGCATTGACAAAAAAAGAGACAACAAACTTGACTCTTTCTCTGTGGGAGGTCGAAAGATATAAGTACATTTTACTATAATTAGATCCTTTGATTATTATAAAAATTCAAGAGTGGACAAAAACAATGATTCTGCCATCATGTTTCAAGGACTGTCACTGTTTTGTAGAATATTTTTTTGTCAATACTAAATAATGACAGAAATCTGATTTGATGTTTACCTGCTTGAGGTGCTTAGCTACAGTATGGCACCATAATAACAAACAACTAAATAAATAATGTGTAACATAATATAAAATTATAAGGATGTTGTACGAGAATGTTTTTTTATACAGAAACTAAAAAGGACCGTCAAGCACTAAATATATATGTGCTAAACAGCGCTTTTAAAAGTGATTCAGTGTTTTTCTCTCCACAATAAAGTTATTTAACTTTGTTAACATATGATTAAAAAAATCTAAAAACAATCAGTGTGTTTCATTGGTTTTTAAATAGTCACAAACTAAAGTCAGAGAGTTACTGCAGAGGCAAAAGTAGTTGTTCTTTGAAACAATTACACTGGTTAGTGTCAATGTTTAAATCATGGGCTGTCCTTGAGCAAGGCACCGAACCCCCAACTGCATGTGTTGACCTATACCTGTATTCCAATGCATGTTTGTATTTAATCTGTACTGTGTGTGTATTCAACACATTCGATACACTGAACTTCCCGTAGGGCATCAATACATCTTCATCCTAATCTTGCGGCCCCCCACAGGGCCTTAATGTACTGTATGTGCTATTTTGGTCAGAATAGTATTTGCCTGCAGCAGATATTTACAACAAGACGCAAACAAAGTAGTTGATCTTATCTGTTTGTGTTAGCAGTTCTCCATACCAACCAGCTGTTTATCTGAAGCAGTAACCAAAACAATCCTGAGGGACAACATGTGTGCCAGTTTATAAATAAAAACCGCTTAGATATTACATAATGCATCCAGAGGTTAAATATAGCAAAGCTGACTGTGTTTCATGCTGTGTGTATTTAAAGCTGAAGCTCTGATTTCATGTTTTAATGTGCAATGAAGAAGGAAGATGATGAACCAGATTAACAGCTGTAAAAATATATGTTGGCCGAATTATTTCTGCTATTTTCTTGATTATTATTAAATAATAATTGACACTGACATAGTTACACTCATGCCAATAAAGTATATTAAAGCATAAAGGCAGCCCATCAGAAACAATGAATTTATGTAGAAGACAAAAATAATGTTTGATCTTTCATGTATGATCAGACATTGATGTATGTTTAATTCCACATCTGTTTTGTCTGGAAAGACAAATCAAACATTTTGTTCCCTGCCCCCTTTATTCTCCTTCTCCCTCCCTCAGTGATGTGATTCAACAGATGTGATGAGTGAGCGCTCTGAGCGTCCAGCTGCTCATGACAGGTGTTCATAACATGACCTACACTCAGGATGGATGACTGATTAAGAGGGAAAAAAGGAGGCAGTGTTGTACTGCACGCTTTTCAGGGCTCTGGATATCGTTTTACTTCACGGACGCTGTTTGTTTATCAGGCTGAACGGCGGAGATAATTTCCCATCAGCCGTCTGACAGGTAGGACAGTGTTTGAAATTGAGTTGACTTGTTCAACAAAGCAACAGCTGGAGGAGCTGCCGCAGGCTGTCAGGATGCTTTGGAACTGCTGTGGGTCGGTGGGCTGGTGAACACACACACACACACACACACACACACACACACACACACACACACACACACACACACACACACACACACACACACACACACACACACACACCACACACACACACACACACACACACACATACACACACACACACACACACACACACACACACACACACACACTTTACAGTGTGCAGCAAATAGATTGCTTCCAGCTGTGGCATCTAGGCTGGGGTAACACACACATACAGTACACACATTCAGAATGGCACCCCTGTGTGTTTCTGCTTTTAATTTGACGTTATGTGTGATGAAGTTACATTTAAACATAATAACAATTGTTCATCAACATTCACCATGCTCGCCCAGCTCGACCAAAACTCATTTTCTTGATTAAGTCCTTTGATAAAGCCCTAAAGGTTTGTCTGAGAATGTAATCTCATATCAATTGCTTGTGTTTCCTATTGGCTGCTAAGATGAGCTGCTCAACCAATCAGAAGAAAAATGATATCGCACCACAGTACGAGGGGAGACTCTCTAATCATGAGGATGATGAATGACTCCCTCAGTGTGTGTGTCTTTGTGTGTGTGTGTGTGTGTGTGTGTGTGTGTGTGTGTGTGTGTGTGTGTGTGTGTGTGTGTGTGTGTGTGTGTGTGTGTGTGTGTGCGTGTGTGTGTGTGTGTGTGTGTGTGTGTGTGATTTTGTGTTTCGGACTGAACCACATTCTTCATTTACTACTTGCCTAAGTGACATTTCAGTTTTTCAATTTGGATTAAAGTTTATGATTACAATGAGCATTAGGCTGAGATGATAGGGTAAGATTATGGTTAAGGATTAAAGGTGTAACTGCCAAAATAATGTAGCTTAAACAACTGCATACATTTACAATATACACTCCTTACTTTCCTTAACATAACATTTCTTGTTATTCATGGTTGGCCTCATCACAACATTATATTTACTAGGAAATGTGATGATTGTTCCTATAATTGTATATCATTTATTGACTAATTATGCATTTAGATTAATCATTAACGTCCAATTGTTTCTGGTTTGCACGTGATAGTTGTCACACTTTGAGACTCGTTGCTAGTAGCTTCAGTATACAAATGTTTCATTTGTTTGATGTTTAGCTCCCGGTTTTTTGTCATACATTTTGACATATTGCTCAAAGGGTTCAGTATGTGTTAAAGTTATTACCTTTTCCTACTACTTCAGGGACTTCCTGCATTTACCAGACTGCTTTTCAACACTCCCAATGGACCAGGAGTGAACTTTTAATCTTTATTCTAACATTATATAACATTGTCACTGGTAACTTAACAAGATTAATAAAAAAATAATAAGCACAAGAAACTTTGCTTTATCTCTTAGGGTGGCTTTATACCTACAAGTCTAGAAATAGGATACAGTTAAGTGAGGCTACGGTCGCTATGGATGCGAAATGTAAAGTTTTAGTTTCACAGGTTTCCACATTAAACATAATGTTGAAATAACTTAGTATAAGAAGGAAATATTACAGAAAAAAATTACAATGCATATCATTTCAAGCTACTTTAATAAAGTTAAGGTATTTGAATCCTGAAATGCCCTATAATCTACAGTTTGTTCACATATTGTGAAATAAAAAAATATCTGCCTTTCTGACAGATGGCCAATAGATGGTTGCATAATATGAATGAACAAAGGGAGAAGCTTTTTAAATTGGCAAACTATAACACGCCTCTCGGTGTCCTCTCTCTCCTTCTTTTATCTCCCCCTTTTCTCTCTTCTGTCTCAATTACCGGCCGGTAGCACCCAGGCCGTGTTCTATCTCAGAGGCTGTTAATTAACACAATTACCTCCTGTGCTGCTGTTAGGCACACAGACAATGAGAGGAGGGTACAACAGAAAACCATTACTCACAGCCTGTCGACAAGACACACAGACAGAGCGGGGATGAAAGGCTCCGATGGACAAATAAGCCACTTGACGGTTGGAGAAGTAGAAATTGGCCAATTAGAATGCCATCAATGTCATGAACCACTTGTCAAAATGAATGTTCTCTTCCCACATTTTCCTTCTGTCTGTTGCCCGCAGGCTCTTCTGTACTGTAACTGTCCTCATAGACAGGCTTGCAAGCAAAAGTCAGCTGGATTTATAAGCATCTTGTACATTTTGTCAGACTTGATGGCTTTAAACGTTTCTGTAGGCGATGAACGCTGTGCTCCTGTGCTGATTAATTGAGGAGGCCATTTTACTTTATCCTCCCACTGCATTGATTTTAGTGCTTCTCCTATATTTGTTTAGTGCTACAAGTGCTTATGTAGTAATAGTGCCTTTTAAAGCTCTGTTAAAAAGAGGAGGTATTCCCCTACTTGAAGTATTCATGATTAAAAAGAAACATAACAAATAAAGTCTGGAATAAAAGTTATTTACAGTTACAATTTGACCACTTAATTTGGCTAAGCTGCTTCATCCAGGCTGTGCTGGCGTAGTTTGATCAGATTTGATTGACAGCAGCATGGCAACATGAACCCTTAACCCTGGTTAAACCATTGGTGCACACCAATATGTGACAGAGTACAACGCCGGAGCAACAATAGCACAAACTAAGGCCCAATCCCAAACCACGCCCTACACCCTGCCCCTACACACTCTCCCTCCGTGACGGAGTGAACTCCGTGGAGTGACACTCGCAGCTCAACGAGGCTCCCTCCTGTCAGATGGAGGGAGTAAAGACAGCAGAAAGCTTTGGGACAAACTCCCCTCTCTCCGGCAGAAACAGGAAATGCCGTAACTGTATGTAACAACGGTTTCAAATCAGCATCTCTTAGACAAAAAATAAAAATTAATAACTAAAATAAAACTCCAAACATCTTTAATTGTGTTACTTTTTTGTAAAGCTCTTTTAGCTTTAAACCTGATTTGTATAAGCTTCTTAGTTTTTGCAACAGTCTGTCAATATACACAACTTTATAATAAAATGCACACATTTACCTTTTTCTAGACTAAACACAGGTATGATCCTAAGTTAAAAAAATATGAGGTTATCATGAGGTTGTTAACATCGCAATTTATCAGTGGATGTTTGCTGGAACTACTTGTAAACAGCGTGTTTCCTGACGGACACACACAGCGTGACTCCGGTCAGGTAGAGACCGGTCTCAAGTCAGCACCGATGCAGACTCGCTGTTTGAGGGCTTGATAGCCCACTCCCCCTCCACACAGGCTCCACACTCGTTGGTTTGGAACAGCACTTAATGTGGCGGACCCTCCGTGCGAACGGAGGGGTAGTGTGTAGGGGTAGGGTGTAGGGCGTGGTTTGGGATTGGGCCAAAATCTGTAATGCCAAACGTTGCCTAATGTGAAGTAGGAGTCAATACTTTCCTACAAAAAAGTTCCTGAAGTATTTCCTACCTGTGTGACGAGGCTCTTGAGTTCAGTCCTCTCCACCTCCCATGATGCCTTGGCCTTAGCGAACTGCTGGGTGAGTTCCTGGGAGCCTTGTCTCTCCTGTCGCAACTCGCCGCTCAGATCCCGCAACGCCACCTTCAGGTCTGCCAAGGTGCTGCTCACTGCGCTAGACTGCAGGGAGAGGGACGCATGTTGAGTGTGTGTGTGTGCACAAGTGTGTCTGTGTGTGTGTGTCACTCTACCAACCTTGATAGTGGGACTAAGAGGTTGTTCGTCTGCAGCGGCCCGCTTGTCAGTCTGGTGGGTGGGGCTTGTCAGGTTCTCCTCCTCCAACAGCAAGTAAAGGTCCCTCAGACTGTTCATCTAGACAACAAAACACAAAGCAGGATCAGCTGTCAGTCATTTATCTCTAAACTATCATAAATACTATCGATCACACAATAAGTGGTGATTTTATAGGACAATTTATCTTTCTTTTCTTACGATTTTTCTCTTAATGCTTTTGCAGGATGAAAACCTAAAACAACCTTATTTCAACTTGTTTGATGACAGTTGGAGAAATCCTTTGAAGCTTTTAGGATAATAGAGCATTGCTTTTAGATAAGATTTATTGGGCAAAATAATTGACTTGACTATTAAATCCTTTCTGTCCCCTCTTACCTCCAGGATGTCCTTCCACTCTGTGTCTTTCCTGCAGCCCAGCCTCCAGTGTTTGAGGAAGCAGCGTAGTTTGAGGCTGAGCAGGAGCAGGGCCTGTTTCAGGTGCTGGGACTCCTGCACTAGCAGAGACCTCTCCTGGCTCCATAACTTCTGCTGAAGCCGAGCCTGGAGGCCCAGACTCTGCAGCTGGAAGTCCCGACGGAGCAGAGCCTTCTGGTGCTCCTCCTGGAGCTGAGGGGAGAAGAGAGTTTGAATAAGGACGCTAAATCTTTGAAAAAAAAAACTCAAATATAACATGAGGTGAATTCAGTTTGACAGCAAAATAAGTGTGTTCTTCTGTAGATGTCTATATACACTTGGGTTTTGTTGGGGAAATAATGAATGTACTCTTCCAATATCAGAGTAGCACATGATAACAAAGGCCCTACGTAGCTGTGTACGTAACAGGATGTATGATTACCTAGAAGAGCGTCAGGACACACTGTTTTAGGCATATGATAGCTATGTGACAACGATTAACAAGATGATTCAGCCTCTATGGAGATAGACATATGACAAGCATGTTCATTGCTTACGTGGGTCTTAGCTAATCTGAACTAAGCATAGAATACTGCTTTGAACCGGTATTCCTCCATCTTGTGACTGAATAACACCCTCTCTTGTATATAAAGCATCTGAAGGACACTGTTCAGGAACTAGTTGTACCAAATGGTCTGTGTGTGATGACTACTTCCATTCTTGCAAGGATAATAAATACATGTATCCTGATTATTGAAGCTCAAGCCGGAACGAACAGGTTTCAATGTGTGTTTGTGAGTTTGAGGGTGTTTTGTGTACTGGTTTAGTTCATTAGTGAGTGTGTCTCAACAGTATTCTGTGAAGGAAACCTGTGTGAGTTTGAGAGTGGTTTCTCTCGGAGCCTGCCTCTCCTCCAGCTCCCCCTGAGGTCCCAGAGACAGCTCCTCCACTTCGGACAGCCGCGCCTGGATGTCACCGGACTGGAGGAGAGAAAGAGGGAGATGGAGACAAAATGAGTCGGGTATAAATATAAAAATGAAACAGGTGGAGTGAAAGAAAATGTAAGAATTAAGGGAGAGAAAGAAGGAAGGAAATTAAGCAGTGGATTAGGGAAACATTAGTAATCAGGAAACAAGGAGAGAAGGAGTAAAGGGAGGGGAATTGGTGAGGGAAGAGAGAGTTAAAAGAACATGTAAAAAGCGAGAAACAGCCAAGGGTGATAGCACATAACATGGCAGTTTTGTGCTAGAACACCCTTTAAATCACACCTCAGCTGCAGCACGCTACTGTACGTCACACACACACACACACACACACACACACACACACACACACACACACACACACACACACACACACACACACACACACACACACACACACACACACACACACACACACACACACACACAAACACACACACACACACACTCCCTCGCCTCATTTGGCTGCTGAGTGAGTGCGATCCATCGACCCGCCACTGTACCATTAATGTCCTCTTTCACCCTCCACTGGGCTCAGCCTCTGCCCTCCATCACCCCCCATCACCCTCCATCACCCTCCACCCTGAGCCCTGAGCCCCCCGCTGTTCACAGCCTGGAAATCTACTCTGACTTCTGTTACACTGTTGTGGCAGCTGCCCATGCAAAATGTGCAGAGAAAAACTGTAGCAACATAAGAGCAAATGTGTGAAGAGTGGGAGAGATAAAAAAACACCACTTTAAAAATAGTATACAATTACAGTCATCATCTGTGTTTGATTCTTTTAAAGATATTTTACTGTTGTTAAGTGTATTAGCGGATTTCTTTATGCTTAAACAAGTTACACAAACTTTAAACAGTGAAATGAAGGTAGGAATGGTTTGATATTTTCAAAGCTCCATTTTCGAGACTCAGTTGGAATGATTGATTCCCCTTTCATGTCGGTGCAGTCACTATGGAGTTGATTAACTTATCTTAGCATTGAGGCTGGAAGAAGAAGACATTTTCCATTTAATTTGTATAAAAAACTGAAATGTAAACATTTTAAATTGTTGTTTACTTTTTGCTAGGTGAACAGCAGCTGGATTTCCCACTGGTTTTGTTATCTAACGGGGAAGTAATTACCCAGAGAGAAATAGTTCCAGCCAAGTGGCAAACTCCATGTAAGCAAATGTTTAAGTGCCTTAATCCTACATTCTTTCTAATCTCCACTGTCTGCAAATAGATGTCTGTTTGTATAAAAGTCTACGAAAAAGAGGCCCTACCCCCAACTTCATTTATTACCCCAGTAAACATTTTGACTTTATCATCCCAATCGCTAGTTTCAAGTCTCATTAATAAGAGCATGATCTTCATTTACTCAATTATTGTTCCATATACAACACAAATGGTCGCCTAAAATTGTATTGATAAGTATTATGTTGTACCCTCTTTTGTCAATTGGCAACGTCCACATTCCAAACTGGAGGCTGCAAAATGCTATTCAACAAACCAATAAGTACCAAATAGTAACCTAGCTTAGGGCGGGGAAATTAATTGCAGGCAACGAGGGGTTTTATGCTAGATGCCGATTGTATGTAACACTGGGTGTGTATGCTGCTGTCTCACTGCTCATTACTGCTACAAACACAACTGTTTTTCCATAATATCTATATCTGTTGTTATCTTTTATTCTATTTTATTCTAATTTCTCTACCATTCACTCTCTGGACCCCATTCAGGCTCTGGATAAAGATTCATACACACACATCCCTGGTTACCATGGCGGCATGCCAGCAAAAGGTCGGCCAAACAAAGGTCTTTTCTTCCCGTCTATCCCCCAGCTGACAGTGAAGTCACTGTTTATGTTTGTTTACAACACTGTGCAGCTAGCATGAGTTCGCAGCCACTGTACCACATCAGTAACTTCAAGATAAAGTATGTGGTGTGTGTGTGTGTGTTTTTTTTTGTGTTTGTGTGCAAATGTGCTTATAAATTAGCCTTTGATTAACTTTTCCATGGCCGCCCGTCATTGTGTGTTTGCTCAGGCAGAAATGATGTGAGTAGACAGCACATGAGAATATCAGAGTACCATTTCAGGTGCATAATTAAACCTAAGTTACATAAATGCAAATTATTTTCAACATCAAATGATAGTGGTGGAAGAAAAAAAGGGTATTCTTGACCCAAGAAAAATGGGGTTTGACCCCCCACATCTTAATACAAGGTCCACATAACTAGCTTTATGTTCAGTTTACAGAGATGGCAGAGTTGCAATTATGATCATCTTTTTAATGCGACTTCCACCATATACTGTATGAGCACGGACCCATAATCACGTGACCAAATTTGTGTACTTAAATCACATGATGACAACAGAGCAACCTCAGTTAACCACAGTTCAAATGCTGGACAACCAATGGAAGATGGTGAAAGACACTGAACAAACTGAGGGAGAATGCAGAGTTGGGTGAGTGAGCCCTTATAAAAACAAGTAGTCAAATTAATATTTTGAAAAAACATCAGCAAATTTCCCATTTAGTGACCTCCTCCCCATCATAGACATAATGGACACCATAATAGCCTGAAGGCATTTAAGACTGTGGCCAGACAGCAGGGTTGTCTGTCTGTGTGCACATGACTGATTTGACATTTCAACATGGCTTCAGGCTCCAGGGTGTCTGAGCCTGTCGTCATGATGTGAATGGTTGTGATTCTGAGCGACTCACCAGTGTGTCGTCTGCCTCCTTCTCTCCCTGTTCCAGCTGGCTGTCTTCCTGCTTTTGCATCTCCTGGCTGTCTGATTGGCTCTCCTCCTCAGTTTGACCTCTTACATTGGTCTCTGATTCGTCCCTATAATCAGGCTGCTTCATGCATGCATGGGCAGGTTAATGAATAAAGAAAAAAAAAAAACGAAAAATAAAACAAAAACAGTGGAAAGAAGAAGGGACAAGGGAGGAGGAGACGTTGTGTCGTGATAAAGAAAATGAAGAAAAAAAGACAAACAAACACAACAATAAGAATAATTCAACCAAAATTGTGTCCATCCGTATGATAACATTAAGAACATGAAAACAATTAAATAAAACAGTTGATATGGATCTCACAAGACAAAGAAAAGGATGTAAAGAAAAAAGAGCTTGGTCGAAGAGGAGAAGGAGAGAGTGGAGAAAAGGAAGAAAAGGAGGATGGAGGGCAGAATGAACGGCTGAAGGAGAGGAAATGGAAGAGTAGGGAAAAGGAAAGACAGGGGAGTAACAGTCATGGGAGTTAGGGAAGGGAAAGAGAGAGAGGGGGAAATAAAGAATAAGTAGTAAGGCGGTTATGATAAAGAATCAGAGCGAAGAGGAACAAAGAAACAAAGTGCAGATGGGGAAGCAAAGCAAGCACAAAGGAGAAGAAGGAAGAGCGGGAACAAGGGAAGGAACGGGATTTGAGGTGAGCAAGGAGGAGTCAAGAGTATGAAGTAGTGAAGCAGTTAAGGAGATAACAAAGAGGAGGAGGTGTGAGGAGTTTCAAAGAAGGGGAAGGAGGCGATGGAAGTGAAGTGCAGAAACCGACCGTTATGGTGCCCATGCAGTGAGGAAAAAGGGAAGAAGGAAGGACGGAGGGAAGGGGAGAGGAGAGGGAAAAGGAAGGAGAGATTGGAGGGGTGTTGGGACTCAGTATTGGCCTCTAATGGAGTCTAAACATAAAAATGTATCATCTTAAAACTTAGCGCAATTTCCTCACATCCTTATCCAAATTATAGATTTGTATTTATAAGAAATACTTTTTCCCTGTAAAGGCAGTACAGCAAATTGCAGAAATATCCATAATTCTTGGGATTTGTTGATACGCGGATAAAAGTGGCAATTTAGCGACAACATTTTTAAATATAAAAAAGGATGGGTATTGATCAGATGTAACTTTTTTTTGAACAGTTTTATAAAACTGTTCCAATGTGTTACTATAACTGTCATTCTTTTGATGTCCTTTTGACCATTACATAGAAATGAGATGCTCACACTAAGTCATAAATCATAGACAATCAACCGTAACGCAAAAATAATTTCCCAGAGGAAAATTACAGACGTGAAATCTGATTTATGAAGCATGATTGGAAATCTCTTTAGAGCGAGCTCACTGTCTCATCTGCAGCTTTGAGAAATCTGTGTTGACACCTCTTTCAATAATAAACCCATGTAGATTTCACTACCATTATATTATATTGCATACAATTGATGGATTTTAATGTCTCAGATTATTTAATATTAGTCTTCGGACTGCAGATGTTGGATTTTAGACATGGAAATATGAAGTACATTTCTAAGTGTTGTGTTTATACAAATACATCTCTTATGATGACGTCTACAGAGCTGAAATTGACAACCTCAGAAACTAGGTTCCTTAAAGGTTTTTTTAAATAATAAAACTAACACTGTGCCATTTAGTGCTTTTAAACATATTATTTTCGAATCAACTACTCTGTATGATGGTAAATAATCACTAGTTATTAATAGGGTCAAGACGATATAGTTGTCCCACTCGTTTAAATTATGATGCCGCATTCCGTTTCACTACAAATGTGAGGGAATCTATGGATAAAAATGTAACTCTATTACTCAATCACACTAAACCCAGGCTGCATGTTTTATGAAATGTTGATGAAGAAATGTATATAAATAAATGGTGCTTTTATGTGCTCCTGATAACTCTATTAGGTCAATTAATACAAACAGGCTCCATTTGAGGCCTAAAGCAGCATCTATACACCAGGTTAGGAAGCATTGGACAGCATGCAGAGGACACGGGTGGCCTCAGGTGGAGAGGGTTACAATGGACGCTCAAATCTGAATACATCTAATACACCAATATTAGTATCAGAAATCCTTTATTAGTCCCACAGCGGGGACATTTACAAATGTAACATGGGGCTATTTGTCAACTTACACTGATCATGTTAGGTGCCTATAGAATGGATAGGCAAAAGAGTCATAAACAGATCAGAATAAATTAAAATGTAATGATAAAATTGCAGTGGTATTTCAGATTTGAGCGTGTTTTGTAAATCCATTCTCCACTGTGAGGAGAAACTACAGCAGATGGGATTGGGAGGGTTTTCAGCCAAACTAATGGAAAGGCACTTGACCAAACACAAAACTGAAGAATAGCAAAAAAATAGCGACAACAGAATATACAAACCCAACAAAGTGAAAGCTTAAAAAATATATTGATAATAACTGAAAGAGACGGAGTGACAAGGAGTGAAAAGCAGGAGTGTGTCTTGTACCTTCTCCACGGTAGTGTTCAGTACATCCTGCTCCTCTCCAGAGCAGGGGGGGGGCAGAGGAGACGCTCCTTCCACCTGAGGGTCCCTTCCACCTGCGGGGGGTTTCCCCTGGCTGTCCACCCGCTCCACAAAGGCCTGGAGCTGCGTGTGGAGGGCCTGGAGCCGGCTGGTCAGAGCCCCCACCAGGGGCCGGTCCGCCAGGTCAGAGAGCTCGCAAATCTGGGGCAGAAATAAATAATTTATCTCACATTTGTTTATTATTGGCTGTAAAAGGGGACTGCTTGGGATTATGTGGGGCTAATGCAGCATGTGTATGAAAAATCAGTGTAAGACATACATTAAAAAAGGTGTACTATTAATAATAATAACAAATAAAAATGTATCATGAGGCTGTGTTCTTTGTTTCTCCATCTTCAAAATCAGAATCAGAATGAAAATGAGGTTTATTGCAAGTTTACACATACAGGGATTTGCTTTGGTGTATAATGGTGCATACATAGAGTAAACACTATAAGGTATTAAGTACAAAAAAAACAACTAATATAATAAAATATTTTAAAACTATTATGATATTACAACTTAGTATAATAATAATATTACAAATTACACTGTATAACTGCAGTATCTCAGTAGAAGAGCTGTGCAGTTTTTCTTTCAACCAAAGAAATAAAAAGAGTTGTTATCTCTGCCAGATGTTAGCCTAGGAAAATGTGTTTGGTCGTATGTTTGTGTGTGTGCGTGTGTGTATATTTGGCTGTCTGTAGCCTACAGGCAACACGTGTTTAACAACTTCAGTAGCACACTGCAAAAAAGGAATTTTAAGAAAGTAAAAAAAACTTGTTTCTGGGAAACAATTCGTATTTTTTGTCTAAAAAGTCAAATAATCTTGTTAAAAAATGCTATCTTATATTGAGCTAGAATTAAGCAGTAACAAGTTAAAGTATTGGTTTGCATAAATTCCCGGCATGGAACAGATTTATTTTTTCTTATTTTAAGAAATAAACCATCAAACAACTTCTCAATTTAAGAATCTGATGAAATGACACCAATTTTACATTTCATATATATTTATTCATTGTCGAGAGCAATTCTAGCTCAATAAAAGATAGCATTTTTTAATAAGAAAAAGTAAGATATATTTTCTCAAAGTAAGAATGCTTTTCTTAAGCAAAGCATTCTTAACAAGATTATTTGACTTTTTAGACGAAAAATAAGAATTGTTTTCCAGAAACAAGTTTTTTTTACTTTCTTAAAATTCCTTTTTTGCAGTGTGTCTTTTTTTTAAATAATTTTCGAATCATAAATCTAATCGATAGATTTATGATTCGAAATTATAAAAGTAGGGCAGACATGTGGATATTATCCGGCTGAACAAAACGTGCATTTATCTAACAGGTTCGTTTTCCACAGACCTTATTTCGAGCTATTTTCCAAAATCCTATGGAGAAATCCCATTGCATTTTTGTCGAGGGAACCCATGCGCAGCTTACTTCCGGGTTTTAGGACGCGTCACTGCACCACTCTATAGCCATTGAGACCACTGGAGGCGTGTGGCGCACTGGACTAGTGCGTTGGTGTTCGGATCAGGGGAGCACAGGTTCAAACCCCACTGCAGTCAGCTTGTCGTAGACAAGACACTTCACCCCAAGATTGCCCACAGTATTGAGTATGTAAGTCGCTTTGGATAACGGCGTCTAACAAGTAACATGTAATGTAATATAACTCTAGTGTGGTATACACAACACACACACACCAAAAATAAGAATGTTTCTGCTGTCTTAATTTAAGACAAATATTTTTATGCCACTTATATATTACGCCAATTAAAGAATTTCATTGTTATTGTAAGCTTTATTTGCTGATTTTTAAACTTAATTTAAGATTTACATTCTAAGTTTAAGACAAAGTCACTAATATATTGTGTCAATTAAAGCCAATGATTCTTATTGTAAGCTTTCTTTGCTAATTATAAATCTTAATTTAAGAAATACATTCTTAGTCAACTCAACCAAAACACTAATTTTAAGTTATTCTTTCTTAAATAATGCAGGAATAATTGCTTGTAATAAGCAAAATGTGCTTACATTTTTGTCTAGTTTCAAGGCCCATTACGGTCTTTCGCTAGATTTTAATTCTAGTTTTAAGAATTCTAGCCAAGCAAATTTGGCTCACCCCATTGGCAGATTTTTTTGCTTGATACAGGAAAATCTGACTTGATTCAAGAATATTTTGCTTGTTTTTGGAAGGGCTGTTTTTGCAGTGGGGCATTTCTGGCAAACTGTTAGTCTCGCTGAGTCTGCTGCCGGCCACATTTTGGCCTTTGTTGTGGCTCAAAATCTGACATGCAGAGAAAATGTTGGTCTCATTTCAAAGCGGAGAATCTGCATATTAATCCCGATATGTTATGATCCACTAAAGCTAGGCACGATATGATACGAAAATGTTTTTTTATCCACGCCATCATCTGAACTATAAAGGGAGCTAGGATGGAGAATTGAGTGGGATTGAACTTGTGCTGAGTCATTAGGAACATTTTATTCTGGTGGCTAATATAAAGTTATGGTGTACTTGAAGAGCAGAGGACGCCATGTACCTGGCTGTGAGGTTTCTCCAGGTCACACGGCTCCGCTGCGTCGCTGCTGCAGACCTTGTGATAGATGGAGGGGGAGGAGGAGAGGCAGTTGGACTCGGGGGAGGTCAGGAGCTGTATCGCCGTGGAAACCAAGCGAGCCTGGTCCCTCATGGCCAGCAAGGCATCATGGTCCTTCTGCCCCAGGTACCCGGGGAGCGAGGTGGTTGCGTCAGCGTTGTCCTCGATCTTTTTTTTCCGCTCCTTCATCTCCAGGGTGTCGGTCTCCCCCCCCACCGGCTCTTTGCGGTGCGGCGGGCTGATGGAAAAACAGAGAGAGCATGTTCAGGGCTTCTCATGCATGTTGGGATTGAACGATGGGATTGAAAGTTCATTATTGACCGTAAAGTGGTTCGAAAATGTCTAAACATCTATAATTGACCTAAAGCCTCCCAATATCTACTAAATTGACTTTGTTGTGAGATTTTTTGTCAAACTTTGCTTTGAAGGTAAGGACTTCAATATAAATCTCAATCTTGCATAGCCAAAGATGTTTCATGATGCCAAGAGGATGGTTTCTACTGACTTTGGTGACCAAAAACAAACTACTCTACGCATTACCACTTTACAATGAGACTACCCTTATAAAGGATTCATAAAGGGTTTATAATTAGGTTGTAAACACTTTATTAATCATTAAGAACCATTTATAAACCAGTTCTAAAATAGTTTTCATACATCAACACAGGCTCACTATTTGGCAAGATGACTAAGCCTTATATTGGCTACCTAGCGTACTTCGTCTTCTTCATCAGCCAGCATCCTTGGTATCTGTTGTTCACTGAGTTGATTCTACCCCCATCCATCTTGATGTTTCTTGGCATCTCTTTATGACCATTTATTTATGAGTTACTAACATGTATAACTGCCAAAAGGGAGCCTTGTAAAATGTAAAACACATTCCCATGTATTAATGAGTTACTACCATTTATAATAAGGCTTAGCAGTACAGATAAATGTGGGCTCTCTATTTGGCAAGCAACCGGTCACAGTTGCCCTGTTTATCTCATGTCTTATAAAAGCTTATAATGATTTATAAAGTGTTCACAACCTGATTAATAAATGAATTACAAACTATTCGTAAACCCTTTATAAGGGTAGTCTTATTGTAAAGTGGTACCCTCTACGCTACTGTGTCTTTATTGAAGTACATTTTTGTCAATAGGGCACTTTATAACTGATTTGATTTCTTCCCGACTGCATATGATCAGATTGTTTGGTTTTATATTCATTGAGTTATCAACAAAGCTGTTGATGTACGACAATAAATACTCTCACTGAAGTATTCCCATTAGAGAACCAAATTGCAGAAGCACAATTTCATCCAAAAATGTTGTACTGAAACTGAAAAACTACCTTGGGAGGCACTCAGCTGAGTCCCCGGCCTCTGCGTCCGTCTCCAGAGCCAGTCGTAGTGAGGAGGAAGAGGAGGAGGAGGAAGGAGCGTTGTAGGAGGCCAGATCGCAGCGCTGCAGGTTAGACAGAAGCACTCGGTTCTCGTACTGCAGCTTCTTCACCTTCCCGCCCAGCTCTCCAATCTGTAGCCTCGCCAGTCTGAGTTCCTCCTCCTGGACGGGGGCGTCTGTGCTGATAAGCACCGCCCCTTCCTGTATGGAGTGCACCGGGCTGTCGTTGAGCAGCCCGTCCAATGAGTTAGACGACATGGAGGACGTTGGAGGCGGGAAGTCAGATTTGTAGCGGTTAATCTCGTTCATCAGGAGTTTGTTCTGTTCCTCCATCTCGATGAGAGACCTCCTCAGAAGCTCCGCCTCCTCCTCCACAAACTGGAGGTGTCTCTGGAGCTCCATGACGTTTTCAGACGAAGCCCCGCCCCCAAGAACCATGGCTCCTCCTAGGCCAAGACCTGACCCCAGACCACCGCCAACACCACTTAGGTCCTGAGGGCAATCTAGAAAAAGAATTACGATAGGTAAAGTTACATTTTAATTTGAAATTAAGCCGGTATAGTATATGGGAAAAAGTCCTTTCTGATGTATTGTTGAGAGTTATATGAGAAGATTGACAACACTCTTATGGTAAATATAAACCTGGAGCTAGAGGCCTGTTAGCTTAGCTTAGCATAAAGACTGGAAACAGTGGGAAACTGCTAGCCTGGTTCTGTCAAAGGGATGGTTGTGACTGTATACATTCTTCTTAACGCAGATGAAAAGCAACGCACACTCCCTAGTAAACCACAAAAAAGCAATGACTTGATATTTTCAATCGATCCTATACGTGAGTTTAAAAGCTACCTTGCTTCATGTCGTCCATCTCAGCTCGGAGCCCCCTGTTCTCCACCTCCAGCTCCACGATGCGTCGACTCAGCAGGTTGGCCTCTTCCTCCACCAGCTTCAGGTGGACTCTGATCTCCGCCTCACGGGTGTGGGGGGAGTCGGCGACCTGAGGGGGAGTTAAAGACATTAAGAAGAAGAGAACAACCTCCTTCATCACCTCCACACTTTCAATCAACTGTAGACATCTAAAAAAGCAAGAATTAATGAAGCCATTCTTATCCCATTTTTTTGCACCACTCCATTCATTGTTGGAAAGGACAAACTGTCATGTTGTTATCAATATGAATAGTTATGAATATATTTTCAACATCAACAGTCCTGGATATTCAAATCCTCATCTTAAACACAAGTAACTAAAAAGTACATACTGTAAAGGAAATCAGCTTTTTGTTTTCAGCATTGGTCACTGAAATGGCTCCAACAAGAATTGGGATTAACGAGGTTTTAGGAGTGTTTATGCTGTTTTCGTTACAATACAAACCAACCTCTGTAGCGTTTTCCCAGCCATTTTGGCATTCATTTTTTTGATTGGGTACAAAGGGTCTGGACATTTCAAACGTTGACCCCTATAATAGCTTTATTGCTCCATTAAGCAGTTTACAGGCAATCATCAAGAGGTGAAAAACTAAATGGTGAGAAAATGATGGAAACTAAGGGTTTAGATTTACCTTAAGATGTTGTCAGAAAACACTTATGGGAGCCGCCACAGCTCTAACTATGAAATAAAAATCCTCATCCATCTACCACCTTTTCCATTATGTGGTAGTTTTTGATACTGGATACCGACTTTATGGTTTTGGTTACTTAATAAGTGTCTGAAACAAGTTTTAATAAGCTCTCAAGTGAATATCTAGTTTCTTTCCGTCCTCCTCATCGTCTCACCTCCTCCACGGTGAGCGAGGCGTTGACGTCTCCGTACAGCGACCTGAACTTGACCAGCTCCTCTTTCATGGCCTCACTGTCCTTCACCAGCTTGGTCAGCTTCTTGCACATCAGAGCTGATTCCTCTTTGGCAAAGTGGAGCTGACACTTCAGGTCTGAATTGTCCTCCTGCGGTGACGGGACAGAAACAGAGAAGAGCACAGAGGTGGCGTTGATACGAAAGCTTCTGTGTCACAGAGAGGCTGACATGCACACACCCCATGCAAAGGGGAGTTTCTATTGTTAGCACCGTTAGAAGTAATACAATGATGAGTCCTTGCATTGTTAAGTAATTTTGATTAATAAATAAAAAATATTAATGTGTTATGGGTTCCAGCTTCTGTCAATTCCTTTACTTGTGCAACACATTTTCTTTGGGTTTTTAGGAACATTTTTTGATGTGAATCAAAAATTAAATCAATAATTACAATATTAATTTAGTGCTGCCTGAAGTATTTGAGTAAAGAGGAAGTAATGAGAGCGACATTGAGGTACGTAGAGACAAGGATGCTGCTCATGATTTTCACGTTTCACTTTGAATGATACAAACTCACACTAAGGCAGCCATTGTTGAAAACAGACAGGACAAAAGACACACAGAGGAAGGAGGACTTTATCTACACAGGGAAAAAGGTCAAATGAGGGGAAAGGAACATCTGACGGAAACATACAGAAAGTAAAAGCTGCAGAAAGATGGATGAACGCACAGGAACAGTGCAGACACACACTCAAATAAGGCAAGTTAAATATGTGCAGATAAGTGGACAACGTCAGAGGTTTAGGGTGAGATATGTGATGGTTTTTGTCATTCAATTATGTTCTGTAAAGTTCAGCATTTTTAAAAACATGATTATGTTTGTGCATATCTCTCATGATTATAATATAAAGCCAAAAACTGTTTGCTTGTCTGCCGTTTAAACACAATAAAGTGGGATGAATTGGTTTTTCATTCTATTCAAAACTGCCTTGAACTTGGAAAAATAGCGACAAAGAGCTATGTGACTAGCTTGTGGCTTTCAGCTACCAACTGGTGAGGTCAGAGTAATGCTGTGTTTGTTCCTTGTGAGGCTCTTACAAAGAAACACAAAGGAAACTCCAGAAAACCCTCATTAGTGGTTTGCCTCAGATGTCATACAGCATATGAAGTGTATAATTACTGACAGACAGCGATACAGAATACATATTCGTAATTTTGAGCTCAATGACTTAGAAAATGACTTTAACAGTACGCACAGCATTGTAAGCAGTATCCTATTTACTATCTGGTAGGCTATTTTAAACTATTTGGATTTACATAGCATGAAAATAAGTTGTTAGAGTAGCAGATAATTAGATAATGGGAAAGTTTAAACAGAAATTGAACAGCAGCACAACCAAAGAATAATCATAAAGTCAGGGAAGTAACTCAGGAATATTAGTATACGGCCACATTTATTCATAATAAACACTAGCTAGCCTTAGCAACGTTTAGCTATATGTCCCACTAGTTCATATAAGGCTGTAGCAGAACAAATATGTCAATCAAATGTACACATTTTAGTGTGTAAAATAAATAATGTGTTACTTAATTTTTCAGAATTGACATTGTCGGTCGACTCAGTTGTCAATGGGAAAATCATTTCTGACAAACCTCTGAGTAACATTTTAGGCACATGTTCAGGATTGGTCAGTCTTACTGCTCCCATAAACCTAATTTGGAAAGTTGTTTTCAGAGACAAAAGCTTGAATAACCCCAATGTAAAATGCCTGCCCAGCACCAAAGAGCAGACAGATACAGTTAGCTAATACTGTAGCTAATGAACATAGTGGAGCATTTGGCCGCTAAAGAGCCAGACAAAATAAGGAGCTAGAGGAGTGAATATAGGAATGGTGGCTATTAACAATACTTCATATAAATGCTCACATATCTTCTGGATTTGTGAATGGACAAGCAAATTACTAAAATGTTTGCCAAACAGACATGAGCAAGGGCTTGTTGTGGTGTATTTTTGCCCCCTTGTGGACAAAAAAACTGTTAAAGCAACATCCAACCTTTTAAGGAGTAGGCTCTCAAGATAAATAAATATTCATGTATTTAACACCATCTCAATTTAAGCTCTTACTGCTGCTGGCCTGAGTTAACCCTGTGCACCTCATTCCACACAGGCAGCTCTGTGGCTGTATTTGTTTTACGGCCTGCGGAGCACTTCAAACCACATTAAGCGAGAGAGAGAGCCAGCACATTTACGGCCTTTTATGGAATGTGGCTTTGAAAAGAAAGGCTTGCATTAGCAGACGGAGAAATGGTGCCGGGGAGAGAATTGACTTCACCGCAAACACCTTCTTTGGCGATATGTTAGTCCTGTGGGTTTTTTATCTAAGCTCATACACTTCTTACTTCAACAGAGATTCAATTTAGTTTAACTGTGTGAATTATTTCAGTGGTGTGGAAAACTAAAGAAGGGAAGGACATTTAGAATTGTAGTTAAGGGAATAGTAGTTGTTTTTGGGGGAGGGAAGAGAGCCTGATCTAAGAGGGAGATTTAAGTGTGTTTCGAATCCAGATCTGTAATCCAAGCATAAACAAAAACTGAGTATGTGAAGATTACATTGTGTGCAAACGACTGCAGGGCATGATGGAGGGTAGAATTAAATATGAAGAGGAGATGAGGAGGGATACAGAACAGTCAGATGTATCTGCTTCAAACTGCACACGGCTTGTTTGGACAGATAGAGTGTGATCCCCAGAGGAAATAGGTCACAAGCGGCAGAGAGACAGCCCCGTCATGAGAGGCAGGAACACACTTAAAGGATCAAACATGATAGATCTCTAACATGACAGCTTGTGGTCAGTGGACATAGACAACTTTTACATGTTTTTATCCTAAATAATTCAGCATATAAAGGCAGAAAATAGAAGAAAAAACAGCTGTTTCAGGGATGACTCACAAACAAAGTGATCATAGACCCTGTATGTACTTCAATTATAAAGCTTATCTTCAAAATATATTAAATTAAGAGAATGAAATGAAGCCAAAAGCAAAACGTCCTATTTATACTGGGACCTTCTCTGCATTGTTGGATACAATTACATTAAAATACAGTAGGTGTACATCTCAGACAGGATTGCTGTTGTAATGATATTAAATATTGAATTGTGTGACTGTGTGCAGTTTATGCATATCTTAAATCCTATTTATTTTCAAATGGGGTTAGTTCTCATAATATATAATAATACAAATCTATGTAATAATGAATATGCTATTACATAAAGCAGGATACACTTTTGTTATATCTGTGGAGAAACTGGAAAACACATTTTGAGAATCGGCAATATCTCAGATGGTGCTCTATCCGTCATTGTGTGTATGTGTGTGTGTGTGTGTGTGTGTGTGTGTGTGTGTGTGTGTGTGTGTGTGTGTGTGTGTGTGTGTGTGTGTGTGTGTGATAAGTGTCAGTCCCTCCAGGTTTAAGTGTCTTAAAGGTTGACTTGCTGAGACAGCACTTTGTGGCTCTTATTGATTTGTTACCATCTAGAGGAAAACATGGTTGTGTGTGTGTGTGTGTGTGTGTGTGTGTGTGTGTGTGTGTGTGTGTGTGTGTGTGTGTGTGTGTGTGTGTGTGTGTGTGTGTGTGTGTGTGTGTTACCTGTGGGCAGAGCTTCTTGTCAGGTTTGTTGTTGGGTCGTGCTGCTCTTTTCTTCTGGGAGTTCTGTAACACAGACACATACAGACGGTCATTAGTTAGCTGTGACACCATCAGCTATGAGCAGTCTAGATAAGATGAAGAATTGATTCGATCTAAATCAACACAGAGGGAGTGAAATATGACCTGTAGAGGAATACAACGCAGGTATTACAATTTTGCAGGATAAACTCATCCCAATTACTTTCAACTTCTGTTTTATCTTTTTACCGTACTGTGCTAAAGCAGACATTAGCGACTCTAAGAGTTTAAACAACACGCTCACATTTTTGTTGTCTTACACTGACTCAAGAGTTATTCATACATCACTATGTAACACTAGCGCTTCTATAGGCTAGCGTTCCAACACATGTATGTGATAGGCTAAGCGGTTGACCAATCACACTGGGCTCTGGTTCCAGACAGAGGGTGAAAAGAGGGGCTGCAGCACAGGCAGTATGAGAAAAATAAAGAGCTTTTTGAACATTAAAGCATGGAAACATGTCCCAGTAGAGGCAGAAAATACAAATATTAACCTGAACATTTGCATACAAGGGCCCCTTTGATAGACAAACTAAATGTCCCTTAGGAAACAGACACGTAAAACACTTAACCAAAAGTCCATTATCACTAGTGCCATGTTGTGCAAAAGTACGATTCATTTTATTTTGCCCTTGCTTGCCTTGTTTCTGTCCCTCTTGTACTGATCCCCAGATGTCATTGCTATGGTGATGTTGATAATCCCCACAGTCATTTAGATCACCATGGCGACAATTACAGATGCGAGGTACAAGTGTAACAACCGAGAGAGATAAAAGGAAAAATAATGGGAAGAAAACATAAATATAATTACGTAATGACATGAACATAATAACTGGGTTGCATTGCTAATAATTGCTGTGCTCACACAGGACACACACACACACACACCATCCTCTGTTCATCAGAGTGCCTAGTGCATTAGACTCCTATAAATCATCATGCTTTTCTCTCTTTAGAGACCACCAAACACCAATCAAACAGACACACACACACACACACACACACACACACACACACACACACACACACACACACACACACACACACACACACACACACACACACACACACACACACACACACACACACAGCAAGTAGCTAAAACCTCATCTGGTTCAGTCCGTTTCCATGGAAACAAGCTACTCTCTGCACCGAACCACCAACAACAAAAGGAGGAAATGAAGGGGAGAATAAAAGAAAATGAGAAAGGAGGACTGCAAAAATAATTTTCATAATAATAATAATTACAAAAATATTAATAATGCTGTGAATATATTTCATGAAGATTTTCACAACATTTCATTTGAAATGAATTTAGAAAAATACGGCACTGAGGGATTTTCTCTATAGCTCCTCCAGGTGGAGTTGCGGTGCAGCACAGCATGAAGGCGATTTGTTTATTTGTCTGATGTTTATTTCCATAAGCCTATTACCCCCCCCTCCCTTCACCTCTCCTCTTTCTATCCCTCTATCACAGTTTGGACTTTTCCCGACCTTTAAATGTTTCATCTCCCGCTGTCTTTCCCTCTCTCACCTTCTCACTCTTCTCTCCTCGCTCCCTCTCTAAGTCCCTCCCTCCATGTCTGGTTCATAACTCACTTATCTTTTCTTTCCTCTTTATTTTATTTATGTTTTGCATTTAAAACCGACACAGGTGAAGATCCTACCCCTACCCTTGTTGTCTTATCGCCCTCTAAAAAACAATAACAGTAAGGATGGAGGTATTTATTTGAAGATAGAGAGAGAAAAAAAAACAATAGCAGTAAGTAAAATATAATAACATATAATAAAGGTTGGTAAAGTGCAGATTCAAAAGAATGCTAACCCTCTTTAAGGTCAGTTTATCAGGGGCAAACACTCTGTGAATGGCTCTTAACTCACTGATCGATAGGCCTGTTCCATAATGGAACCACTGATTCTGGCATGACGTTGAACGGATGTCAGGACTATTGGATCGGGCTTTTAGCTGAGCAGCCTTCAGGCGCACTGCGAGGCTTGATGGAAAGAAATTTAATTTAATTTGGGCTAGGCTTTTGAGAGGGGAGCTCAAGACAGTGAATATCACACCTAGTGTCATTTGCATGAGCTATTCTTGCATTATCAGCAAAGTAGAGACTGTGAAAAAACTAATTTTATGGTATAAAAATAGACTTTAGTTCAAACGTGATTGCGCTCTTTCTCAGACTATGGATGGGGAAGTAATGCTAAAATAAAGATATTATTACATCACAAATATGGTCATGATAATGGAGCTTTATACCTGTGTTTAGATTTTTTGGAAATAGCAATTGGAATTATACTGTACACAGTTGCAGTTAGTAAGAAAAACTAACTGCATTTTTTGTAACTTTCTATTCCTTATATTGCAAGACAGAGCCATCCCAGTTTATTTTAATAGCCCTTTTCCACAAGAGACAGTTTGACTTGTTATAGCAGGAAGAGCCTAGGTGTTACTAATAAAATTAACGACAGCTCTGTTCTATTCTAGTGTCCCAGGAAGTCATGACAGTGTGACAGTAAGCTGGCATGCACAACACCAGGACTGACAAAAAGCTGCCTTCACTGTCAGTCGGACCTGGAACATTCTCTGGCTTGCTTCAAATCTAATAACAGTACAGAACTTGCTGAAAAATAACACATAGCAGCAGACAATGGTAATTAGATACCTGAACCATAAAAAATGCTGAGTCACTTTGTCTAAAATTGCCAAACGGATAGTCAGCCAGAGAAATGTCTGAGTTGTCTTCAGGTACAAATTGCATCATCAGTTTCACCGCTTAATTGAGGAACTACTGCCTGACGCTGGAAAGAAAAAAGATTTTCTGGACTTACATTTCAAGCCCCTTAAAAAAACACCTATTCTCACTGTTACAAAAGTGGAATTTTCATTATGTAAAAGCACACACTCAAGAGTGTGACCAGAGCCTGGTTCTAATGTTTCCGAGCCTGCGGGTCTACAGTTACACTGCAGATAAGATAACAGGTTGACTTCCATGTTACAGTATCTGATAACATATTGAACAGCTTCTGGCTCTGCTTTTACAGCCGCAGCAAAAAGGTAACATCTCCCTATACTGCACAGTTATCACATTGTTAAATCTATACAGGTGAAATGCTAATGATATTGAGAAAATAGTAAAACTAGAAGATGACTAAGATAGATAGATGGATACATTTTTACAGACAAAAAAGGACAAAGCATCCTATGACTGGGGGATGGAGGGAACTGATGAGGACAGAAGGGGGAAGAGGAAGAGATGGAGAAGGACAGAGAGAGAAGTTGGAGAGACAGATAACAACAGTGATGGCAGTGATAAAAAAGAGAGGGAAAGAGAGAGATGTTGTCATTCCTCTGTCATGGATGAGGAGGCACAGCAGTGTAAACTCGCCTACTTCAAATCCAATCTGCTCTGCAGTTCAACCAACTGATACACAGCAGGGGGAGAAATCTCTTTGTAAGAGGAAAATGGACAATACTGAGGTAGAGTTAGGAAAATAATTCTGAAACTCATGATTTCGAAATGATATAAGCTCTGCAAGGTTAAGAGACTGCAAACAGGGAGCAAATGAGAACTAAATACCTTGAATATACCTGGTGTATTTTCGCAAGGTGTGTCTATCTCTGATTCTTGAGTTAAAATCAAGATGGCGTCAAAGATACGGGGATTTATTGTCGTGCCTAATGTTAGTTTAACATAACATATCAGGTATGGAATTAATCTGCTGATACTGCAGGTCAAATATTTCTTTAATGATTTCACTTTTTGAACCATGACAAAGGCCGAAATATAGCCCGCAAACTTATGTAAGGCTTGTTTTTAGAATAGCATATTGCCGGAAATGACTTTAGAGTAAAAGCATAGAACAGCTAATAACAGCTGTTATTTTCAGAAAATGACATCAATGTACTGCAATGTAGCCTTTAAAATTAGGAAAAGTCACTTTTGTGATGATACAAGTTCAAAAAGCTAGGACAATATCTAGTCATGTATCACAATCTTGGTATTATATCAATATATTGCCCAGCTGTGGATTAGGGGCAAAAGTATTCAGTGGTGACAGCTAGAAATAGATGCTTAGAATTAAAAATAGTGTCCTGTCGCCTTGAGATGCAGCTGATACATTTAAAAATAAATCTGCTGGATTGAGATTTGACTGCCTTGGCGACGGACTACGACTACATACAGTAGGTTTTCACAGTGTGCAGATATGGTTTTAACAGCCTAGTCAGGGCACGGCCCGGCACACAGGTTAACTGACAATAGATGAGATTGCTCTCTGAGGAAGTGAGAGAGCGGGAGAGGAAGCAGCCCCAAAATTAGATTTGCTCTCAGGGATCAGACTCTCCCGAGGCAAACAGGCGTTAAATGTAGTCGGAGTGTACGTGTCCGACTGATGTTTTAGGTTGTTCTTTCCTTTAGTTGCAAGGGAAGTTTCAAAATCTAAGTTCAAAAATACTATTAACGAATACTAATGAACACCTTCTTTCTCAATATTTGTAATTGTACCTAACAGAAAATACAGTATAGTTTTGTTTTAATTGAATGCTAACTCCAACTTCCAAAGCATTTATCTTCAAAAGTAAACATATTGGAGAGTTTCTAACACTGGAAACTAAACAAGGGGACATCTTTCTGTGACCGTAAACACTTTTTTCTGGTTTCCAAGTTCCTGGTATGTGAATTGAGCAGTTAGTTCCAGACACAGATGTGGCGGCACCATGGATCTCCAGCGGTTGTTTACGTCAAAGCAACGCTGTGTTGGTCATGGACACACGACAATTTAGGCTACGGAATAACTGTAATAGGAGACAGCTACATTTCTGGGTAAAACAGCATCCAAAGCTACTGTTATATCATATTTCCAAAGCTCGATTAGTGACACTAAATAACTCAACAAGTCAAAAGGTTTAGAAAATGTGCCGCTGAAATCTAGCTAATAATTTCCTCTGAGGGCAGAAATGAGATCAGATTGCCAGGAGTGAA